AAATTATTAAGCTTTTATTGAATATCTAACATTCTGCATATAGGTTTTAAAGAATCAAAGAAAACTTTGATTTTGGTTCTTCTCCTTTTCTGAGTTGGCAAAGTATTGATTAGTATTCATGAGCTTTATAACAACTAAATAAACACTGCGGTACATACCAAGTGAACAATAAGTGAATTAAATATTATATCACTATTTTTATAGAATGAGTTATAACAGTCATTAGTATAGTGCTTTCTTAGTGAAATATTTCGATAATAATGATGACTACACTAAGGAAAAAAATCATAATAGGATAAATTTTATTGATCTTCATTGACTTAAAAATTATAAAGTTTTTCTTTATATGCCAAACATTCCCTCTGATAAGTCTGTTTTGGGCCAATAATAGCAATTACTCATTGAAAAATCTACTTTTAACTAATGAAAGATAATATGAAAATTTCTCACAGAATGTTAACAGAGAACTTTAAAAAAAAAGTTATTTATTTTATTTTGTGTGTATGTGTGTTATGTCTGCATGTATGTTAGTGTACTTGTGCAGTGCCTATGGAGGCCAGAAGGTGTTGGATCCCCTGGAATTGGAGTTACAGACGGTTGTTAGCCCCATGTAGGTGCTAACCAAACACACTGAAGACTTCTACAATGAAAATCTTAATCTTTTAAGAAAGAGATTGAGGAAGACACAAGGAGATGGAAAGACATCTGGTGCTCATGGATTGGTAGAAGTAATATTATAACCAAACACAATTTATAGATTCAATGTAATCCCAATCAAAAGCCTCATGACATTCTTCACAGAAATAGAAAAATCCATCCTAAAATTCATATAGAATCACAAAAGATTCTGGATAGCCAAAGAAATCCTGAGCACAAAGAGTATTGCAGGGGGGATTACCATACCAGGTCTCAAACTATATTACAGAGCTATAGTCATTAAAAAATAACCTAATATTGGCACAAAAGCTGACACATAGATCAATAGAACAAACTAGAAGGCCCAAACAAGAGTGTGTGCAATTTCAGCCACCTGATATTTTACAAAGGTGCTAAGAACACACACTGGAGGAAAGACAGCATCTTAAACAAATGGTACTGGCAAAACTAGATCTCCATCTCCACCTGTAGAAGAATGAAATTAAATTCTTATCTGTCACCCTGCACAAAAGTCAAATCCAAATGTATCAAAGTCCTCAGTGTGAAGACTGAAACGCCAAAATAAATATAAGAAAAAACACTGGCAGCATCCTACAAGATATAGGTGCAAGGAAAGGTCTTTCTAGATCAGACGTCATTTGCTCAGGAACAAAGGTCACCAACTGACAAGTGAGACTTCATTAAATTTTAAAAGGCTTCTGTATAGCAAAGGAAACAACCAATCAAGTGAAGGGAAAGCCCATGGAATGAGAGAAAATCTTCACCAGCTACACATCTGACAGAGGACTAATATCTAAAGTATACAAAGAACTCAAAAAAAGAAACAAGCTAACCAATGAGCTAATTAAAAAATGGGCTATGGATCTGAACAGAGAATTCTTCAAAGCAAAAGTAAAAATGGCTAAGAAGCACCTTAAAAGCATTCAATATCCTCAGTAATTAGAGAAATGCAAATCAAAACCAGTTTAAGATTTCATCTAACTCCAGTCAGATGGGCTAAGAACAAGAGAACAAATAACACTAAATGCTGGTGAGCATGAGGGGAAAGGGGAACCCTCATTCACTGCTGGTGGAATTGCAAACTGTTGCAACCACCATGGAAGTCAGTGTGAGAACTCAAAAAAACAAAATTAATATACCATATGATCCAATTATATCACTCCTTGGCAGTACTCAAAGGACTCATTAATTGCAGAGACAATTTGCACAGTCGTGTTTATTACTGCTCTTTTCACAATAGATGAGAAATAGAAACAACCTAAAAGTCCCTCAACCAACAAATAGATGAGAATGTGGTACATTTACACAATGAAATTCTGTTCAGATGTAAAGAAAAATGAAATCATGAAATTTGTAGGTAAATGGATGGAACTAGAAACTGTTACACTAAGTGAAGTAACATAGACTCAGGAAAAGAAATGACACATGTTCTTTCTCATTTGTGGATCTTAGATACAAATCCTTCAATGTTAGTATATACCCTGATGTGACCAGGTAAATGGAAAGGAACCATGGGGGTAAAGGGGAAGAAAAAACTCCAGAGAAGGGAATAGTAGGAGACAGGTGTTATAAGGGGGAAATGGGGATAATAAATTGGGAAGGGAGGAGGGAGAGTTATATAAGAAACCATGGCAGGAAATGGGAAGAAGTTCCAGAGGGGAAGATAGTGGGCGATAGGTATTATCATGGGGACAATGGGGAAAATGGGGCGCAGAGGAAATATACAGGGGGAGACAGAGAGAGGTGAGATAAATAATGCTTAGGTGGTATGAAAAACAAGAGGGAAATGTATTAGTTCAAAAGCCTATTGAAAAATGCACAGACCATATATATGCATATGTGCATGTGTATAGCTAAAGGCTATACAAGAAACACAATGCCAGATAGAACACCCTCCCACCTTCAGTTGTCAGTGTAGTCTAAGAAACTCCCCCAGTAACACAAGCTATTGCCATAGCCCTTTATTCCCTTCCAGAACTTAAAGGTGAGATCCTATTTTTGAAGATAGGATATACTTCAGACACAGGACTGGAGCAATGGAGCTATAACTGACCTGGAAGCCTCTTCTCCATAGACTAGCTCTCATATTATCAAAGGATACTAAGCTGCTAAGGGGGAAAATCAATCACTGGTTCAAACCAGCTGTAAAGTCCAATAACCACAACAATGACTATATATTTGTGCAGCAAACTGTATCTATTGGTTTAGTAGTGACAATTTTATATTGGGGGTAATCAACAGCTATCTATTGGACTTAATGCCAACTCAATCGGAGGGAACTCATGTGTGGTACTGTAAATATAGCCAAATACTTATGGATGGAGAGGTCATAGATCCTAGAGAAAAACTACATCTGTCATATCCTTGGACAAAAGTAATTTTCTGCTGAATACTAAATATGTGTCCTTATATTCACAGACATGTGTGCCTCTCACCACTCATCAAAGAAGCTTCTTTTTGCAACAGATGAAGACTATTACAGAATTCCACAACTGGTCAAATGCAGAGAATGCCCAGCCCTAAATGACATCTACAGTGCACCTTTCACACCTCAGGCTGATGGAACATAATGAAATGGGGCAGAGATAATATTAATGCATCTCTCAGCTCTCACCAGGAAATCTTTCTCATGCGACAGAGGGTGATTAATACAGAAAATCACAACTGGTGAAAATGTAGAGAATAAGAGGATGTGGAGTGTGTGTCCCTGAATAGGACTCTATATTAAACCTCCCTCACCCAGGGCTCATGGACCATTGTGGGAGAGTGGGTGGAAAGACTGTAAGAACCAGGGGTGGTGGAAAATAGAGTTTTCCAGGCAGCTGGGAGCTTGTTCATATGAACTTACAACAATTGTGACAGCATGCACAAGACCCATGCAAACTCAAACAGGTAAAAACCCAGCATAGAACTAGGGAAATGGGTAAGAAGTCCCAACCTTAGCTGAGGAACTATTGGCAGTAGATCACTGCGGGGTGAGGGAGAGTTGGTATTCTTTTTTTGTTGTTAATAATTTATTGGGAATTTGACACATGCATATAAGGTGTTTTGATCAAATGCATGCCCACTCCCTCCCCTCCAACTCCTCCCATATCTCCCCATCACTTTTTTCTGATAACTTCATTTACTCTTTCTTCTTGTATTTATTTATTTTTATGGGGCTTTTGGTTACTTTAACTCTCCCCCACTCTGAAGAGGTAACCCTAAAATCTTTTAAGGATTAGATAAAATTCTTTAAGGGAATGATGCTAGATAGTTTGACCAGGTTCCAGTGGATGGACTCACATTGCATTTGGGGACACAAATGACTGAAAGGCTTAAACATTTATGAAAGAATGTATGAAATCTGGCAGAGGGACTATGGAGGTGCAGATAAGGGAGAGGTTGTAAATATGATCAAGAATGTATTGTATGAAATGCACAGAAAAATAAAAAGTTTTAAAATTATGTTTAGAGTTTTATAGTATTAATATAACAAAAAAGATTTATATGTTCCACTAAGTGACTCATTTACTAAAATAATATGTGTTTGATCAAGTGAACTAGAATTTTTACAGTGTTCTGTTGATAGCTACTGTGGAATTCCAGCATGTACAGGTAGGTAATATGGCAGAAGTTTTGGATAGTAATGCTTGTGATTAGAGGGAATTGAAAAGAAAGTAGGGCTTCTTAGAGATTTTGGTATTTACTAAAAGCAGAACACTTGTGGGTTGTTTTTCAAATTTCAATATTTCATTAGACAGAAGTGAAGGATACAAACCCGATACAAACACATTAGTATCAGAGTAAGAGAATTAAGAAATTTCACTATGAGAAAACAGAAATTACAAAGAAGAGAAATGCCTAATAAAACAAAGGAACAGAGTTAACTATAGGAGAAAAATACATTATTATAGCCTTTTTAAGTAGATTTAAGAATAAAATGGAAGGAGGAAATTTCTGTTGGGAAAAATATGGTAATTTTGTTGATAAAAGGACATGTTCATGGGGTTGGGGATTTAGCTCAGTGGTAGAGCGCTTGCCTAACAAGCGCAAGGCCCTGGGTTTGGTCCTCAGCTCTGAAAAAAAAAAAAAAAAAAGACAAAAGACAAAAGGACATGTTCATTAGACTTCAGTGTCCATGGTAAAACATTTTCCTGTCCTCTCCCCTCAGCCTATTTTGAACAGTGGGAGCAGCAGCATTGCAGAACAAAGTGGAAGCGTCCCGGGTTTTCATGTGCAAGGCACAATGAGTCCTGCTGGGATGATTTCATTTAGGTCAACAGTGCTGGTATTTAACATCAGTCTTATTCTGTGTATGGGAGCTTTCAGAACAATTCAGGCCTATGAAGAGAAATTTCTTCATAATGAATGAAAATTCAAATTATTGCCAGATATATGAAATGGAATATTTTAAAATTAAAGCCAAACAATCACTTTTATAAATTTATATATTTAAAAATCTTACCATTGTAACTTATTTCACAATTTTTTACTTACTGACACAGTTAGATTCTCCCAAATTATGTCAGAGGTAGAAATATTGGACTCCCTCCATTCCTTCAATGTATCATTGCTGGGATTATGCGGTTCCATGCAGTTACATCTGTAAAGGCAAAACAATTTCTTTTCTGAACTAAAATTTTTTTGTTACTGTAGTGAACGCATACACATGAGAGGTCCTTCTCCCTAGACACAGCATTCATTTATCCGATAAGCAAGTAGTTAGACTGTCCAAACCACTCTTGTCCTACTGTCCTCTTCATTTTCCTTCAAAGTAAACTAACATGTAGTGAGCTCTACCTAACCACACACTCTAGATCCATAGCTTCAAGCAACTGCGGATTGAAAATACAGAAAAAATTCCATCTTAACTGAAAACATGCAGACTTTCTTCTCTGTCATTATTTCCTAAAGAACACAGGGTGAAAGCTATTTTCTTCACATTTACATTACACTGGGTATTAGGTGACATAGAGATGATTCAGGAGAGTGTGTGAGGGCTATATGCAACTACTACACTGTATTATAGGAGGGACTTGAAGATCTACAGATTTTGGAAACTGCAAGGGATCCTTGCACCACTTATCCAATGATACCAAAGAATGACTGCAGTACAAAAGAGAGAAAACATGGCAATAGTTTTATAGAAGGAACACAATAAGGATAAAAGGTAGTTATAATAGAAATATGAGTACACCACATATCAATGTATGAGTGTATGTACCGGCTTTATATACCTACTGTATATCTATACATATAGATACAGTATGTATACAGCTACCATGTGCATGGCAGAAGGAACTTTTTATGGCTTCTAATTTAATTATTTAATTTTAACATATTATAGAATGAAGAAGCTAAATATTTGACAACTTATCCAAGTCTACATTAACAAGATTGGATTTGAATGATTGTCTGTTAGACCCTGAAAGCTCCACTCTTTCATCTGTAATATGCTGCTTCTAGATATATTTGCTGCCATTTCCATGAGGATAGCCAGAAAATTAAGAAGGTTCCAGAACAAACGAAGTTATTATACTTTACTATGTGTTCTTCCCAGGCTTTTCAGGACCTCTCTTCTTTAAGATTTTCCCTCCAAACTCCCTGCAGCTACACTACCTCCACCACTCAGCCCTGATGCTCAGTGTCCTGCTTCTCATAGCCCCATATAAACTTGATGGTATGGCTTCTCCATTCATTTCGCTCACCATGCATAGAATCCCTTGGGGTCATGGTGCTTGCTGTGTGTGAAGCGAATGCCCTGTGTTAGTAAGGACAATGCATAAAGTGGCCCTGCATTCCTGGCACTGTATTTTCACTTAAACTTTAGCAATGACTCTGAAAGCACTAAGCTGTAAGTCTGACACAAAAGTAGCAAACTCTGAGCATTGGGTGGGTGAAGTTCAATATAGGAGTCCTGACCAAGGACTAGCATTTTTCAAACTCTTAATCTCTACACTTTGACCATTCGTAACCTTTTGTGTTCCTGGCCCTCTGTTTTATGAGGTGGCTTCTTAATGAGAATTACTCTATTCATTAGTGTTCTCTTTACCTTTTGTTCTGTTTTATGAGGCTTAGGTGTAGAGATTGCATTGTAGATGTGCCACTTAGGCTTGGGCAACTCACAGACAATATCTGTATGTGACCAGTTTTGGTAGTCTGTAATAGTCTATGTCTGGTGAAAGAGACGTTTCTTTGATGAGTGGTGACTGGGATATTTGTCTGTAAATATAAGGATACATATTTTGCACATAGTAAGAAATTACATTATTCTAGGGATGTTCATTGCAGAAGAGGGAGTGAAAAGACTGTAAGATCCTGGGAGGAGGTGCATGACCATATGGAAAGAGCCTTACAAACTCTTGGGACCCTGCTCATTTGAAACTACAGTAATGATGTCAGCATGAACAAGACCCATGCAAACTCAAGCAGACAAAAACCCAGCATAGAACTGGGAAAATGGATAGCCGACCCCTATCTTAACTGAAGAATATTGGCAAATGATTACTGCGGGGTAAGGAAGAGCTAATCTTCCAACGTGAGGGACTCTAGATAGGCTGACTAGACTTCAGTAGTTGAACTTGCACTGAGGAACGTTTGGGGACACTAATTTGACACACTAGGCCTTAACATAAATGATATAATGTATGAATTCACATGGTGGAGGGGATTATGGAAGGGTGTCATTGGGGAAGGGGGTATAAAGACGATTAAGATGTTCTGTGTTTAAAAAAAAAGATGTTCTATGTGAAATACACAAAAATTCAATTAATTTTTTTTTTAAAAAAAACATAAACTCACAAGAGGGACACATTTTGGAGATCACATTTAGTTACCTATGCCTCTTTGGCAGTAATCTCTGGCTAATGACTTTTCTCATCCACAAATCAATTCCAAATTGGAAAAAATATGCTTTAAATTTAAAATATTTTTAACATCACAGACATTATATGTAGCTAAGAAGATTATTGTTTTTCCAGTTTCCACAGTAGACACCTAAACTCTCAGCAGATGGATCTTGGAGGCTTCATGCTTATCTAAGAAGTTTAAAAATGATCTCGAGGTCCAGGAATGTGGCTAGCAATAGATTGTTTGTGAGACCTACAGTTAATACTTCATAGAGTACCAGAAAAAAAAAAAAATGAGAAATCTCTGTGCCAACCCATGGAGGATCAAAAGGATGGATGCTGAGTTCTCATGCTCTCAAACAGGGAAAGGAGATATTCTAAATGATATATCAAGAGTAAAATGAGGGAAAAGAATACTTCAGATCTTCCCTCTGTATGAACTCAGTCAAGGTTATTTTGATCCAACCTAAAGCCTAAAGCAAAGAAATTAATATTGTAAGGAGATAAAATGTGAGTTAAGAGAAAATTCTGTTAATTTTACCAAAAACAGCCTCTAGTGACACTGGCAAAAAGCTCTGGAACAACATCTGTGTTAAGCAAATAGTAATTAGGTATTAGGTGTCATCACTATGTTTTTTTATTGCCATTATGAATATCACAAGCTCCTAGATTGGGAAATCCAACAATCAAAAGGCAGAAGAAAGGGTAATATCTACACTTCTCAACGCTAACTTTTTTCTCTACATTAAAGAAGTCACAAAATTGAGAGGGAATGGAGGACATGGGAGGAGTTGGGATGTGTAGAGGGATGGTAGAATGATGTAAATACAGTACTTACAAAATTCTTAAAAAATAAAATTTTTAAACTGTAAAATGCCAATAATTTTGACATGGTATTGGGTCATTTGACTTAAGCATACTTTTTACAAAACATGTCCTCTGCCACACTTTGCTTTCCATAGAAAAGCAAGTTCTCCAAGCAATCGTGTTTGTATAAATGGCCACAGAGTGATTAGATAAACATTATAATTAAATGACCTCATCCAGAAGTCTTTGCTTTTTTGCAAGGCTAATGGAGGTGATCAGTCTTCCTTATACAAGTACTTATGGCTGTCTTCGGGAAAACATAATTTCGTAGAACTCCCTTCGGCATTATTACTAATTCTAGACACTAGGCTACAGACGCTGTCCTTTTGTCTCTGTGCTTATTAATAGTACTTTCTTCTATGCGCTGAACAGGGATACTTTGTGTTCTACTTTTTCCAAGCCTTTTTGTTGACTAAATTAGACCTCAAGAGTACTGTGTATCACATTATGTATTAACATAAGGAACAAAATCATAGAATCATCTATCTGTAGAAGACAAATGTTTATAATTTTTATTCAAATATATTTTGATTTGTAAAAATAATAAAACCACACCACAGAATATTTATTTTATATAAAAAATAAAAATAAATCTCTCAAGCTTTCTACCATAGCAATAATGATTTGTAGCAATTTTTCCCAGTAGTTCTTCTTATATATTTTTCAACATGGTTTATGAGCATAAATATTTTGTTTATTCAGCCATTGTAATATAACTGATTTATATCTTGCTACATTACATTTCAAAATAATCATTCTTAAATGAATCAATTCAATTTACTTGCTCACTCTTCTTTTATTAAACATTTAATTTGTTCCCAGTAAGATTAATATTTACAAAGTACAATGGAAAGTCTTTATAAATACATCTATTTCCATACTTTGGATTTTATTGTTAGAAATGGTTCATTAAGTACTTATTCTTTTATCTTTAAGACATCATTAAGATATGTAGCTATATCACATCATGAGGAAATATATTTTTACAAGTTCGACACCACCACTACTAGGTAATATAAAGTACAAATTAAATTCTTAATTTTTTTTCTTTTCTTAATATAGGCACATCTTTTCCTTGCCTTTAAGAACATAATTTTGTAAAATATTCTCACTCTATTTACATATTATGTCTTTATGTCAACTATAGTTATTAATTTATATGCAATGTCTAACTCTTTCAATAAATAATAAGTTCATGAAGACAGGGACCCCCAACTGCACTGTCATTTTGTACCCAAGTACCTTGCATATAGCAACCAACTTTGCTCGTTCATTGGTTGTTTAAATAATTTTAAATTATTTTGTACAGAAGGTGCTTCAAAGTTCTATTGAAGACACATAGAAATGTATGATGGTTCCTGCCTATTGCTGAAGACAGCACATATTTTGGCTGCAGGATATCAAGAAATCAATCTCAAAATGAACAGAAAACTTCTTGCCCTTTGGCTTTCTTTTATCCTGCCAGAAGGTGCTATGCAGTCTGAAGGGGAGAAAAGACAGTGGCCTCCCACAGAGATGGACCCTGTATACACTGAACTACAGGCAGGTTGTGCCTACAGGTACAATGGTGGCATGAGCATTGTGGGGTAACTAACCACATTCTGGTTAGATTTGAGGCCTACCCCATACAAGAGAATTCCAAGCCTGATACTGTAATCCTTGTAAAAAGCCCATAACTGGTGAAGTATGATAGTGATTATAGAACCTGCTGTTGTTATTTTGCTAAATGGTCATGCTGTCAAACTGCCTTCAACATGTTTATGTTTATACCCACAGACCAGGTTGTCCTCTTATTTGGTCAGAGAACTTTCCTTTTGCTGTAGGCAACAGTGGTTATCTCAGTGTTGAGATGCATAACTCAAATGCTGAGAATAAGAGATGAGTGCTC